GGTTCACAATCAAGATTGTTTTCTTACTCGACCGGCGTGCTAGAAGACTCACAATTCCAGCACAATGGCAGCCTTTGTCGGTTCTTAGAATTCATTTTCTAAAACTTTTCGCATGACAGGAAGGCCCAGAACATAAGAACACTATCTTGAAATTTTATTCCCTCCTTTGGAACCAATAACGGCCTATCAGAATGGGCGAAATGACAAATAAATTATTAAATATTAATATTACTAGCAAGATCTTTTTTCCCAAGTTGAGATTTTTCTCATATAGTTACAAAATGGTGCAATTCTAACTACTAGGTGAATGTGAACAAGGGCCGCATGAACTGATCCGCCAGTCAAATATAGACAGGAAGTAGCATTTAATTTATTTAGCGAGTTTGTTGCAAATAGCAAATGTAAGCAGTTTTTTGCGTTCCTTTCATAATGTACACGCTAATTAGAATCCATACAGATACCAGATTTTTTAGTAAGTACTTGTTTGTCTCATCATGGAGATCGTCCAACGTGATTTTATTTAACCAAAAGACAAAACATAGTGTGTAATGGACTTGGAACTACCTGGAGAGAATGATATTCTGCAATAGTCACGCTAGAGCTGACGAAACTGACGATGATCCCTCGAAATAAGCTATATTATATGTCTACGGTGTAATACAACTTCACTAGTTTTGTGGCGGTCTTCTCTTCAGCGTTTCGTAAGACCTTTCCAGACCTCAAAGTAACTCAAACGCGTAATCCAGATCTGTGGTTCTTTCTATGTCTGGACTGATGGATGGGTATGATATTTTCTTGGAGGACAGTTTCAGCTGGTTGGCCCCACAACTTGCAATTTTGATTCAGATTGTGATCATCCTAATCGGTTAAAACGCCGGAGCACTAGTTGGTCACTTTGTCTGTTTGATCGGTTATTCCTACGCATATAAAAACGACCTTCTGTATTAACGCAACACTCAAATGCATATACTCTTTTCTACACTCAGCTCTTCACATTTGCCAGTGACCAGTCATCTAATCTAGTTCCTTGTCGATTGTCCACAACGATGTTGCGAGGTTCAAGGTAATAATAGCAAACGTCAGGCGTGAAAATTCATATTTCATACCATTATCTATGCGCTCTTCGTATTCATTGTTCGTTCATGTGTGTATGGGCTTGGGGTCGTTCTAACTTTGATTCAATCATGTGAATCTGGTTGCTGAAATAATGCATAAGAATGAATGCTGTCTTGTTAGCCTGATGTAAGTGGCGGCTCCGACATCTACTGTGCATGTTTCTATTAAATTTTGCAATGTTTATTTTTCTTACCCGTGCCTCCCCTACTTTCTTTCCTAAACTTCTTAAAACCAATTTTAGCATTATACTCTGTGTCGAGTTCTGAAGTTGGAACACACGTACCGCTGCGTCAATTTTGAACTTTGTCAAAGAATTTGACAGCGCATCCTAAATGGTTTTCTTCTCTTGGGCACCGGCATTTCCTCCAACAGCAACCATCCACTTCAGCAGGTTTCTTCCTGTGTATTCCTATGTCCCTGAAA